GAGTGAGACTATCGCGTTCTTGAACAGTTCAGAGCTGCTCAACTGCGTGAAAGGAGGACAGCAAATGTATCTATGTTACCGCTATAAGAACAACAAATATTAAAAACAGAATTAAATAAATGTTTATAAATAAAAAAGTACTTTCACTAAACATTATCTTTTAAGTAAGAATTTCACATAGAATATTTCAAGTCCTCGGTGGCCGCGTGGTTAAAGCGTTAAGGCTTTACGCTGCTATGACGTTAGAGCCGTATAAGACAGGTTCGAATCCTAGACAAGGCCTTGAGTCAAGGCATTTTTTTTTTAATTTTTACCTATTTATTTTTACTTTTTACATATTTATTATTGATTAATACAATTTTTAGTAATGTGTTTCTTCATTTTATTTAAATTACTTATACGCGCATTCAAAATTTCAGCTAAATAGGAAAAAAGTTTATAATAATATAGTGTCTAATGTTGTATAGATAATGAATGGTACGGAACCCTTCGTGCGCCAGTCCGACTCGCACTTGACCAATTTTTCTTGTTGTACTTTGTAATTCATAATTATGTTATAATTGATGTGCTGCATACACTTTTTTACTTTATTCCATTCAATTGCAAACTTAAAAAAAGACATTATATACAAACTGTATATCAATACAAACCTGTAAGTATCCTGCAAGAAGTAAGGCGTTTGCTGCAATGTACGCTCTCCTAGGTAAAACACGTTTTCTGCTTAAATACCACAGTGCTGTAATTAAACCTAAAGTTGCCGTTCCTAATATTCTATGATTGAATTGGACTGTTGTTGGATTTTCCGTAAAATTAACCAGTTTGGGCGTGTATGCCAGGATATCGTCGGGAATCCACTTATCCGCCATTTTGGGAAAAGAATTGTATACCAAACCTGCATCTAATCCTGCCACAAAAGCACCTACAATAATAAAAAGTACTTTTAAGTAAAATATGCTATTTACTATACTCTGTTTTTTTTTTCTCATGTAAGATTTCGACAGACAATGACAGAAGAAAAGCAGATGACGCCTATACCAATCTATTTT